GTTGGAGGAAGATGTCTGGCACATCAGGAGAAAGGTGGAGGAGAAGCCATCTGCTTCCCTTGCAAACATCATCCCTCCTGTTGTCGAGAACCACCATTCGGCTGTAATACCTCCTGTGGTCAGAAAAGCCCTCTTCAAGGTCACCGGTAGCCACTGTACCAAGACAGTGGAGCAGGCATATGCACTCAATGCCATTCACAGGTGTGAGTCACCACTGATCATTGTCATGGCAACAGGCACTGGCAAGTCTGCACTCTTCATGACACCTCTGTTTTGGCTTCCTCCTACCTCGGTGGTGGTGGTGGTTGTACCATTCATTGCGCTCATGGAGGACCTACTGGAGCAATGCAAGCTTGTTGGGATCGTTGCAAGCAAGTGGTCTGGGTACAACTGTGCCAAGAAGGTGGAGGGAAGTCAGCTTGTGTTGGTGGCTGCAGAGAATTGCTACAACGAGCACTTTGGCAGCTGGGCACAGGAGATGGTGGAGCAAGAGTGCCTGGCAGCCATCTTCTTTGATGAGTGTCATGTCTGCATCACACAAGACTCCTTCCAGCCATCAATGGCAAAGATCAAGCAACTGATCACCACTGTTCCAGTGCCTCAGTACTTCCTCACTGCCACCCTGCCGCCAAGCCTCCTGTTGACCTTCAAGGCTGCACTTTGTCTCCCACAAGATGGCACTGGTATCATCCATGCTGCTACCAACTGCAACAACATTGCCTACTCTGTTCAATGGCTGCCATCCTCTGCAACCATGGACTTTTACTTGCAGCAGCTTCTCCGATCCCATCCCCATGGCTCCATCATGGTCATCTGCCATTCAAGGATAGCTGCCGAGACTACAGCCAGGTTGCTGAGTTGCCAGTGTATCTGGTCAGAAATGGATCAGGCAGACAAAAAGGCTATCCTCTTGTTGTGGCTTGCCTCTTCAGCAGCAGAGATGGATAACAGCAAGCATGTCTTGGTGGGCACAACAGCCATTGGCACTGGCATCAATCCTCAGCATGTCAGCTTGGTTGTGCACATGGGTGGAGCATATGATATGGTCAGCTATGTGCAGGAGTCAGGATGTGCTGGCAGGAGTGGTCAGCCAGCCAAGGCAGTGATGATGGTCTATGATGGTGTATGGTTGGAGGACAAGGTTGATCTGTATGTCAAGGAGAAGGTGTGCAGATGTGTAGCTATCTCTAGCTACATGGACAGCATGCCCCTCACCTGTCTCAGTCAGCCAGACCTTGCTCTCTGTGACCTCTGCAGTCAATGTGTTGCAGGTGATGCAAAGACTCTGCCAAAGCCAATGACATCTATCAACACACCTCCAAGGTCTGACAAGTCTGAGCATTATCAACAAACTGCCTCAGCTGCTTCATCTTTGCTCTGTCCAGCCAATGCAGCAATGTCTCTACCTCCTTCTCTGCAGAAGATACAGTATCAGCAGGGCATGGCCGATCTCAGCTCACTGGCTCAGCATCCAAGTAACGCTGCCAAGAGCCCTGTTGACATCCCCTCCACCATTGATCTTCTCCACAAGTTGTCCAAGCAGTGCTCCCTCTGCTACCTCTTTGGTCATCGGCATAGCTGCATTGGAAAGCATGGTGCTGACCATGCCTTCATATCGTGCAAGTGTTGGCCCCTGATTGAGGCATGCATGCCTCAGTGGCATGAAGGTCAGATCAACAGAACTCACCTTGGTCAGGTGAAGAATCAGATGAGGAGGGACAAGCCAAAAGGAGTTGCCTGCTACACATGTTACACTCCTATACACACCTGCACAAACAGCAGCTTGGCTCCAATGAGGGGATGCACAAAGAGGTATGCTGATATTGTGCTACCAGTAGTAGCTGTTGTGCTCCGGCACAAAGAGTTCAGGGAGAGGATTTGCCAGGAACTCAAAGTTGATTGCTCGGACATGTCACAGCTGGAACTTGACCTTTGCAGTGCATTCACATACAAAGGAGAGAAAGTTTCCCTTGCATATGCCATCTTTGTCATAGCCATGGAGAATGCTGTCAGGGGTCTCGCGCCTGAAACCCAGGTCGGTCTGTCAAGATACTCGGTGACTATCAAACTGTGCGACAGCTATTGTCTCGGTATCGGTGACTATCAAGTTGTGCAGTGACAGCAGGTGGCATTCGTTGTATATACTATCGTAGGTTTCGGCTGACCTCTGTGGACACTCCATTCAGGGGTAGCTCAGCACAATCAATATCAATGTTATGATGACACCAAGGTCTGGTGTGAGTGTTGATGATGATGAGGTTGATGGTGTTGGTGATGAGATTGGTGATGTCAATGATAATGAGGTTGATGGTGTTGGTGATAAGGTTGGTGGCGTCAACACGAGTGTCCAGTGTGTTGACTTGATGCTTGAAGTGATCCCCAGACCACAGTGGACTACTGCCTTCGGTTCTATCTTGATCCGGACTGCTAACCTGCTATGGGCACCTTCGGACATCAGGTAGTGGTGATACAACACACACACTACAATGAGGAGCAACCTTTGATGGATTGCTGCTATGCTGACTGAAACTAATATATACTTATGCTGAAGTGATAACTAGTTATGGTGAGTAGAGTGGATGAGGATCCACTCGACCTATTGATGATGAGAAAGCATGGTTATATACCTCTTCTCAGCATTGCCAGCAATGCTGCTCCTGCTCTCTCTCCAGAGAGTACCTTCTTCATCGAGTACTGCTCAGGGGCCTCTCCTGCTTGGCACCCCTGTGCCTCTTGAGCTGTGTCGACTCCTTTGACACTGCTCCTCCTCCTCATGACCTGGTGTCAACTCCTTCGACACTGCTCCTCCTCCTCATGACCTGTGACAGTTCCTTTGGCTCTTGTCTCTCGAGCCCCTGAGTGGTAACCATCTGCATGCTCCTTGAGCTTGGTCCTCTTCGTGGCTGTGCCTGCTCCTTGAGCTTGGTCCTCCTCGTGGCTGTGCTTGGCCCTCCTTTGCATGTGAGTCCATAGGAGTCCATGGTCTCCATGGAGACTGCACTACGACCATGCTCTCTACTGATCTCGACTAGATCTTCGATACCTGTGCTCCTTCCATATGAACCCATGACCCTCCTGCTTCTTGAGCATCCAGGCCCATGACAAGTCATTGCAAGAGCACTGCTATTGCGTTGATACGTAACCGAATATAGAGTAGTAAGTTGAGTTTCAGAGTGGATGCTGGTCCACTCGAATGCTATGGTAGAAAGAGAGTATTTATATGTTCGATCGGTGTTTTCCCTCGACACCTATCCTGCTCCTCTTGAGGGGCCTTTGTCCCCTGTTAGGCACTGCCTTGCCCTGCTGGCATCATCCCCTTCGATACTGTGCTCCTACCATTTGCTCGGCATAAGGGTTATGCAACACTGCCCTCTCGCCTTCATGCTCTCCTTCTGTCTGATGTGTGATGCCCCCTTTCGGCATGGCCCCCTTTCGACTTAATCTTGTGAATCCCCCTTTTGAACCTCGTGACCATACCCCCTGGTCATGTGGTCACATCGGCTCAGTTCCGTCTCGACTTGTTCAGATCAGCCAACTAGTTGAAGCATGCTGATCCGACTGATTCCAACATCGGCACAGCTCCAAATACCTGTTCGGATTGGCCGATTAGTTGAGGTGTGCTGATCTGACTGCCTCCATCATCGGCATAGCTCCGAGTACTTGTTCGGATTGGCCGACTCATTGAAGTGTACTGGTCCGGCTGACTCTGACCGAATCCATGAGATCGATCTGGATTCCTGGGGTTCGATCGATCTTGTAATTCATGTGCACTGCCAACCCGATTAATCTCATTGATCCCTGATGGTTTTTGACTCTGATCAATCTGGCGCACCCTTCATATGTTGATCTTCTGCGCACCCTTCATATACTGCTCCATTACGTGACATTATCATAACTGCCGCTGATCATTTGGTGCACTCTCTTGCGCAGGCCAGCTGTCCCTGTGACACCACTCTTGGATCCAGGAGTTCATGATCATCCCATCACATCTTTTTGTTCAGGCTCGAGAGGACCCTAAGATGATGGTTATTGATTGTGCTGAGTTCAGGAGTGGGTCCTGGAGTAGCTTCATGACCAACTAGCTGATGATCAGAATAGTCCATGTTGGGAATGGGAGTATCACCCCTAATTGACCTGGGAGTTTCATCCTTGATGGGGGGTGTGACTTGGGGTTGTCCACATGCTCAATCAGACCTTCGATCTTGAGGTCAAGGATATGGGTTGCATCCCAATCTTTGTTAGCCAGGAAGAGAGTCACTCTGATTCACATGGCTTTACCGAGCTCGGTTCAATTAGTGAATGGACCAAGGTTGTACATTGCTTTGTAGAGGGTACCAACACATTCAATCATGATAGACAATGGTGAGATAATCTGTTCTTCATCATTGTCATCCATTGCATACTTCAGTAAGTGACCAGTCTTACAAGGGGGTTCCATTTTTAAATCGAGTAGGGTTGCTTAATCAAAGTTGTAGTACTACCCAAACTATGCATGTTTCATTATCCAACCCTACTCAAGTTGAGTAATAAAATTTTCTGATACAGCTTGGTGAAGTTGGGCCTGGTATGAGTCAGGTCATTGAAATATTGAAATTTTTGACATGCACCCATAATAAAAGTTGTTGCTCTATACACCAATAAGAGTGTCCTAGACTGTCATGATGATAGACCAACCTGTTGTGGAGCTGTGGCCAACTTTGCATTTTTGAAATTTTGGCCAAAGCTGCAAGGGTCCCCCCTTGGAGGGGTGGGATATGGACCACCTCAGATCTTTATGCTACCTTAATGAACATTGTAGACACATGCTAGGAGATGATGGATACAGAGTTTCAGACAGGAGTGAAGTCTGGTCATTGAGATATGGTGACTTGTGTTGGCCAACTCTAACCCTACTTGGTGACATGTGACAGTCATGACCAGCAGAGGTTGTTGGCTATTTACAAGGGTGTTTCTTTGGGCTTTGTGAGGAGTGCTATGTACATACAGTCTGGTCAGTCAGATCACAAGCTCAGGATCTCATAGTGGTTGCCACCCAGGTGGATGAGCCCCTGGTATGGTCCACCAGCTCCACCTGGGTAGGTGGTGTGGAGGTCATGCTGGTCAGAGTACACCCACAGGCTGCAGTGGTGTGCCTCTGCGAGTCCCAGAAGGGAGAGCTCATCTCCCCAGGTGCCTTCCTTGGCCATCTGGTCCAGCCAGGCACCAGGTCCAAGGTGACCACTACCCTCTGCAGCAAAGGTGGCCACCAAGTATGGTTGGCTATGGAGCCACTCCACTGCATCTTTCCTGACCTCCATGTGGTGGTCCTGAGTACCATAGACATGGTAGCTGACAGCCCTAAAAAGACAGTTACCATCTGGCTTGATTGTGGTGGACTGCTTGACCCTTGGTAGATGTGGTACCTCCACCATACCATCCATTGGGACAATAGTGTTGAGCATGGGCACCCAGGGGATCTCCAAAGACATCTCCATGGCTGTTGTAGGGTCCTGGACCATCTTGGAATGCAGCTGCATGGTGGTGGTGGCAGCTGGAGCCTCTGGAGTGGGCAGATGCTCCACTGTGGTGATTGGCTCAGCTGGGGAGGGAGACCAAGTTGACTCGGCAGGGGCTGGCAGGAACTCCTCTGGCAAGATCAACTCATCCTGGGTAACAAGCTGGAGGATATGCTCCCTGGCCTGGGACTGGTTCAGCTTTCTGCCACACACTGAGCACTTGATTTGGAACTGTTGGGCTTGACCATCCCATGTGTATGTGTAGCCTGGGTCAGGGCAGGCATGGCATTGCAACTGCTTCCTGAGTGCTGTGAAGAGTGCCTTCATGGCTGGCACACCCTTGATGTGGTTCAGGGTGATATGGGTAGGCTCTGGTTCCTGCACCAGTGCAGCAGCAGGCTGCTCTTGGTCCTCTTGATCCAGCCACCAGGCATCAGCAGCATTGAAGGCAGTGGTCTTGAGGCATCCAGTGTTCCATCCCAGGGCATTGAAGAGGTCAAGGATGATCTGCTTCTTGTTGCCATGCAGCTTTGACTCATCCCTGCCGATGAAAGCCCTGACTGTCTCTGCCTTGGTGAGGAGGTGCTTGAGGTTGGCCAGGTAGTCTGCCTTGGTGATGGTGATCATCCTGAGCTGGTAGGGATGCAACAGCTCCAGTCTGTCATACAGGTAGGCATCAAGGTTGAGGAGTGGAGTCTTGTGGATGATGTCCTTGGCCAGCATGAGTGTGGGTGCAGTGACAGTGACCTCGAGGCGGAGACCACCCATGATGGAGCGTGGTGTGATCTCCATGGCCTTGAACTGGTTCTTGAGGTTGGTGTGTCGTACTCTAGCCCGCCTCACAGTGTCTGGTGCCCAGAGAGCTTGATTGCCTGACTCTGCCTAGCCCTAGCCCTAGCTGGTGTGTCTTGCTTGCGGGCAACGCACAATTGCGCTCCGCCAAATTCGAAATTCACGCGACTGCGTTGGCCCCCAACGCACTCGAAATTTACACTGCTCAAGTGCTGCAACGCAAACAAATTTATTTTCGCTGGAGCAGCGCAAATTGAGCAACGCACAGCTGGAGCAACGCACTCACAGCTGGAGCAACGCACACTCTGCTGGAGCAACGCACACTCTGCTGGAGCAACGCAATCTGAGCAGCGCACAGCTCGAGAGCAATGCACTGTTTGAGAGCAACACACAGCTCAAGAGCAACACACAGCTGGAGCAACGCAATCTGAGAAGCGCAATCTCATCAGTGAACTGCTGGACAGCGCACACTCTGTCGGAGCAGCACAATTGAGAGCAGCGCAATTGAGAGGAGCGCAATCGAGAGGAGTGCAAGCGACAGGAGCGAGCACTCTGCTGCAGCAGCGCAATCGAGAGGAGCGCAATCACGAGCAGAGCAGGAGAGAGGAGCACAATCGACAGTAGCGCAAGAGAGAGCAGAGCGAGAGAGAGGAGCGTAATCGACAGGAGAGCAATCTAGAGACGAGCAGCAGAGAGGAGCGCAATCGACAGGAGTGCATTCGACAGGAGTGCATTCGACAGGAGCACAATCGAAAGGAGCTCAATGGACAGGAGCTCAATGGACAGGAGCTCAATGGACAGGAGAGCAATCGACAGGAGCTCACTCGAGAGCAGAGCAGGAGAGAGCAGCGCAATCGACAGTAGCGCAAGAGAGAGCAGAGCGAGAGAGAGGAGCGCAATTGAGAGGAGTGCAATCGAGAGGAGAGCAACCGAGAGGAGCGCAATCGGGAGCAGAGCAGCAGAGAGGAGCGCAATCAAGAGGAGCGCTCACTCTGCTGCAGCAGCGCAATCGAGAGGAGCGCAACCAAGAGGACCACAATCTACAGGAGCTCACTCGAGAGCAGAGCAGGAGAGAGCAGCGCAATCGACAGGAGAGCAATCGAGAGACCAGCAGAAGAGAGGAGCGCAATTGACAGGAGTACAATCAACAGGAGCTCATTGCAGAGGAGCGCAATTGACAGGAGCGCAAACGAGAGCAGAGCAAGAGACAAAAGCGCAATTGAGAGCAGAGCAGGAGAGAGGAGCGCAATTGACAGTAGTGCAAGAGAGAGCAGAGCGAGAGAGAGGAGCACAATTGAGAGGAGCGCAATCGACAGGAGTGCATTCGACAGGAGCTCAATCAAGAGCAGCGCAATCGAGAGGAGCTCAATCGAGAGCAGAGCAGGAGAGAGGAGCACTCACTCTGCTGCAGCAGCACAATCTAGAGGAGCTCGATCGAGAGCAGTGCACACTTTGCTGGAGCAGCACAATCAAGAGGAGCACACTGCTGAACAGCGCTCACTCTGCTGGAGGAGCACAAGTCGAAGGAGCACAAGACTAACCATCATTTCAAACCTGATCTAACATTTGGAGCACGTTGACCGACATTTATTTTTGACATCAGATTCAATCTAACATTCTTGAGACACGTCTAACATTTTGTGACCTCTTTTTTGACCTCATATTTTCGTACCTTTTGTTAAATATGTGTTCTTTGTTTCGATCTAGTATTTTGCGCACATTACTGATACTTTGAAAACATTGTTTCAATCTAACCTTTTTGGCATGTGACCTGTGTTATGTAACCCCTTTTTGATCTAACATCTACCACACGTGACTGATATTTTCCTCGTGCCTCACAGCTAGCAGCGCACTGCTGGACAGCGTAATTAAGAGGAGCGCACTGCTTGACAGTGCACACTCTGTTGCAGAAGCACAACTCAGAGCAGCACAACTCAGAGCAGCGCAATCGAAAGCAGAGCAAGAGAGAGGAGCGCAATCGACAGGAGCGCAGGAGAGAGCAGAGCAGCTGAGAGGAGCTCTATCAACAAGAGCACAATCGACAGGAGAGCAATCGACAGGAGAGCAATCAACAGGAGCGCAGGATGGAGGAGGTCTATCGACAGGAGCACAATCGATAGGAGCGCAATCAACAGGATTGCAATGGAGAGGAGCGCTAGAGAGAGCAGAACAAGAGAGAGGAGCTCAATCAACAGGAGCTCTCACTTTGCTGCAGCAGCGCAAATGAGAGGAGCTCAATCAAGAGGAGGGCTCACTCTGCTGCAGCAGCGCAATCAAGAGGATCACAATCAAGAAGAGTGCAATCAAGAGGAGTGCTATCAAGAGAAGAGCAATCGACAGTAGCGCAATCGAAAGCAGAGCAATCAACAGGAGCGTAGGAGAGAGCAGCACAATCGACAGGAGCTCATCAAGAGGAGCGCAATCGAGAGGGACACATTCGAGAGCAGCGCATTCGACAGGAGCGCTCACTCTGCTGCAGCAGTGCAATCGAGAGGAGCGCAATCACGAGCAGAGCAAGAGAGAGTAGTGCATTCAAAAGGATCGCAAGAGAGAGTAGAACGATCGAAAGGAGTGCAATCGAGAGCAGCACAATTGAGAGGAGTACAATTGAGAGGAGCTCACACTCTGCTGGAGCAGCACAATCTGGAGGGTTAGGGTTAGGGTTAGGGTTAGGGTTAGGGTTAGGGTTAGGGTTAGGGTTAGGGTTAGGGTTAGGGTTAGGGTTAGGGTTAGGGTTAGGGTTAGGGTTAGGGTTAGGGTTAGGGTTAGGGTTAGGGTTAGGGTTAGGGTTAG